GGGTTATTTCACCTAACATAGTGACCTCCAGTTCCATCCATGTTGCTGTAAATGACCTGATTTCATTCTTTTTGTGGCCGAATAGTATTATATTGTGTATACTTAGTAAATGCCACATTTCTTTATCCGTTCATTCACTGATGGATACTTAGTTTGATTTGTTATTGTGAACACTGGTGCTATAAATATGTTGAGGGCAGGTATCCTTTTGACTTATTGATTTTTCTTCTTCTTCTTCTTCTTCTTCTTTTTCTTCTTCTTCTTCTTCTTCCTCTTCTTCTCCTTCTCCTTCTCCTTCTCCTTCTATTTTGAGACAGACTCTCAAGCTGTCACCCTGGGTAGAGTGCTGTGGTATCACAGCTCACAGCAACCTCCAACTCTTGGGCTTAAGCAATTCTCTTGCCTCAGCCTCCCAAGTAGCTGTGACTACAGGTGCCTGCCACAATACCCAGGTATTTTTTGGTTGTAGTTGTCATTGTTGTTTGGCAGGCCCAGGCTGGATTCAAACAGGCCAGCTCTGGTGTATGTGGCTAGTAGTGCCCTAGCCACTGAGCTATAAGAGCTGAGCCTGATTTGTTGATTTCTTTTCCTTTGGATAACCAGTAATGGGATTACTGGATAATTCTCTTTTTAATTTTTTGGCTTTTAAAAAAATCTCCATAACTGTTTTCCATAATGGTTGTACTAATTTACATTACTGACAACTGTATTTCCTTTTCTCCACTTTCTCACCAGCATCTGTTATTTTTTTGTCTTTTTACTAATAGCCATTCTAACTGGGTAAGATGATTTCTCACTGTGGTTTTGATTTGCATTTCCCTGACGATTAGTGATACTGAGCATTTTTTCACATACTTTTTGGCCATTTGAAAAATTGGATTTCTTGGCTCGGTGCCTGTGGCTCAAGTGGCTAAGGCGCCAGCCACATACACCTAAGGTGGCGGGTTCGAATTCAGCCTGGGCCCGCAAAACAACAATGACGGCTGCAACCAAAAAATAGTCAGGCGTTGTGGTAGGTGCCTGTGGTGCCAGCTACTAGGGAGGCAGAGGCAGAAGACTCGCTTGAGCCCAGGAGTTGGAGGTTGCTGTGAGCTGTGATGCCATGGCACTCTACCCAGGGGGATAGCTTGAGGCTCTGTCTCAAAAAAAAAAAAATTGGATTTCTTGAGGCCCAGGACAGGCTCACACCTATAATCCTAACAATTAGGGAGGCTGAGGCAGGTGGATTGGATGAGCAAGGAGAAAGACCCCATCTCTACTAAAACTAGAAAAATAAGCTGAGCATTTTGGTGGGCACCTAGTAGTCTCAGATACTTGGGAGACTGAGGCAGGAGAATTGCTTGAACCCAAGAGTTTGAGGTTGTTGTGAGCTATGATGCCATGGTACTGTACCTGGGTGGCAGAGTGAGACTGAATAAAGTAAAAAATAAAATTAAAATTTAAAAAAGAAAAGAATAATTGTATTTCCTTAAGCCAGAATAAATTGTTCCTTTCAAGTTTTTTGATGCAATTTCATCTGGTACCACTCTCACGTTTTAGAATTCTGAAGAAAAATTCAGTAAGTGCTCTATAGCCAGTATGGCCATATGGCTATCTGTGACCAAAGCTACAAATTTCATACTCCTGGTGTTTGCTTAGAGAGAGAGAGTGCTTTGCTCTAACCTTTCAATAATCCTACTTAAAGAAAAAAAATTGGCTGGGTGTGGTGGCTGATGCCCATAATCCTAATACTTTGGGAGGTTGGATGCTCATTTGAACCCAGGAATTGGAGATTAGCCTTGACAACATAGTGAGACCCTATCTCTTAAAAAAAAATTTAAAAATTAGCCAAATATGGTGACCTGTGGCTGTAGGCCCAGCTACTCAGCTGAGTCAGGAAGACCACTTGAGCTTAGGAGTTTGAGGTTACAGTGAGCTATAACTGTGCTACTGTACTCCAGCTTGGGTGATGGGGGAAGACTCTGTCTCTGGAAAAAAAAATAATATATATTTACACCCTGTGAAATATTTGGAAAATTCAGAACAGTATAAAGAGAAAAAAGAATCATGCTCTTCCAGTATCTGGAGATATTAACTCATAAAATTTAGAATTTATCCAATTTTTTTTTTGCACATGAATACTCACATATGAAGTGTGTCTGCTTTAAAATAAAACAGACACATGCAGCACATACAAATTTCTATACTCTGCTTTTTCCCCTTAGCATAATATTGTAAACATTTCCCTGTCTGTAAACATTCTTTAAATTCTCTTATCATGTAATATCTGAGACTTAAGAATATATACAATGTACATGTAAAGCCGATAATAACATGAGCTACATGTGATTTGGACTTTGGACCCTAATGGCCAAACCACATATTTTCCCTGTCATTGCTCCAGTTCCTGCAATCTCTATTTTGTTATTTATTTATTTATTTAGAGACAAAGTATCACTTTGTTGCCCTCTGTACAGTGCCCTGTTGTCACAGCTCACAGCAACCTCAAACTCCTGGGTCAAGCAATCCTCCTAACTCAGCCTTTCAAGTAGCTGGGACTACAGGCTTCCACCCCAATACTCAGCTAGTTTCTCTATTTTTAGTGGAGACATGGTCTTGCTTTTGCTCAGGCTGGTCTGGAACTCCTGAGCTCAAGAAATCCACTTCCCTCAGCCTCCCAGAGGGCTAGAATATAAGACTATTTAAAAGCACATAACATAGACATATACTATTACCTTGACCAAGGACTTGGGGTACACAGGCAATAGAATACATATACCTTCCTTTTCCTTTTCTTTCTTTCTTTCTTTCTTTCTTTTTTTTTTTTTGAGACAGTATCTCACTTTATTGCCCCAAGCTAGAGTGCTGTGGCATCACAGCTCACAGCAGCCTCAAACTCCTAGGCTCAAGGGATCCTCCTGCCTCAGGCTGCCAAGTAGCTGGGAATATAGGTCCCACCCACAATGCCCAACTAGTTTTTCTATTTTTAGCAATGACTAGGTCTAGCTATTTCTGGGGCTGATCTCTCCCAAGCTCAAGCAATCCACCTACCTGGTCTACCACAGTGCTAGGATTATGGTCATGAGCCACCTCATTTGGCCTACCTTTACTGTTATTGTCATTTGCTAGGTCTGGAAGTGAAGCTAAGACAGTTTTGGGGGCCAGGTGCAGTGGCTTATACCTGTAATCCCAGCACTTTGGGAGGTGGTGCCTGTGGCTCAAAGGAGTAGGGCACCGGCCCCATATGCCAGAAGTGGTGGGTTCAAACCCGGCCCTGGCCAAATATATATATCTTCTATAAAAATGGTATCATGATGTATGTAGTCTTTTGTAATTTGCTTTTTCCCTCAAAATTGTGTTTGTGGATTTATACATACTGTCACATCTAGCTAAAGCCTATTCTTGTTCATTATGCATAAAATTGCATTTTGTGAATATATAAAAATTTATCATACATGTCTTCTGGGCCACAGGTAAAAGATTCTCTGTGGTATACTTGTAGGAGTGGAAG